CATCCTATTGAATCTGTTTCTCCGGGAAACCCTGACTAACAGAACATCTGTGGTGGAGCTGGTTAGCTGTGTTCCCAAATGCATACTTGGCTAACTAACTAGTTAACTAACTATGAGTGACACTTCGGTATAGCCATGCAACGAATTTCTCCCCACTGGGTGGGGAAGCAAAGTGATATGAGCCACTTCCATGACTGACCCATTACACCTTCTTGCTCTTTTTCTTTTCTGGATGACCGGCAGGGTGACACTGAGAACATCCTTGGAAACCACATGTTGATGCCGGCATCCTGATTCCTTCAGTAACTCTGTGCAGCTGAGCTCCCTCCTCCCCACTCTGGCTCCACAGATCTTGAACATTCTCACCTAGATGTCCCTGGACTGTTAGGTAAGTTGTAAATAAATTTCTACTGTTTTCAAGTTATTGCATTTTAGATTTGTTTAATAAACTAGTTTAACATACTCTGACTCATACAGAAATTGGTACCCTGAAGCAGAATGCTATTTAAAATAAACACCTTGTGATCTCTCTCTCATGCTCTCTCTCTCTCTCAAATAAATAAATAAATAAAATCTCTAAATAAAAAAATAAAAAACACCTAAGGGGTGTCTGGGTGGCTCAGTCAGTTAAGCAGCCAACTCTTGGTTTCAGCTCAGGTCATGATCTCAGGGTCCTGGTGATTTAGGAAAGAAGATTAGGATTTGAAGCCGACGGCCAAGAAAGAATTCTCGAGATGTCTTTGGTGCAAAAAGGTGATTCTATTAAAGCACAGGGACAGGCCCCGTGGCCTGAAAGAGCAGCACTGGGGTCATGAGCAGTGGCCCATTACATACTTCCAAGTTGGGAAGGGGTTAGGGAGAGCGTAAGTCTCTAAGGAATTTTGGAAGCAAGGTTTCCAGGACCTTGAGAGGGCTAGCTATTGTTGGGAAAAGGGCGTTTATTACCATCTAATAAAACCTTCGTCACAAACCTTCAGATGTATATCGGTGGACCATATGCTTGGGGGATGATTGCCAACACTTATCTTGGGGGGTAGAGATAAAGGAAATTTCCAAAGGAATTTTTATATGTTAAAGTAGACTTACAGGATCCTGGGGCAGGGAAGGGGGGTGTTCAGGCTAAGATTGCCTTTTGCCCTTAGCCAAGTGTCAACATCGAGGCAGTTGAGTCCCTAGAGGAATGCACTCTGCCTGTTTCAAGGACTTGTCAATGGGTTGTAGGTAGGAAGGAAATTTAGTTTTTATTTTTTTTAAAGATTTTATTTATTTATTTGACACACAGAGAGAGACAGCGAGAGAGGGAACACAAGCAGGGGGAGTGGGAGCTGGAGAAGCAGGCTTCCCGCCGAGCAAGGAGCCCGATGCAGGGCTCGATCCCAGGACCCTGGGATCATGACCTGAGCCGAAGGCAGATGCTTAACGACCGAGCCACCCAGGTGCCCCGGTAGTAAGGAAGTTTTATAATTTTTCTTCTGCCTTTGTTTCCCACATCACTGGGATCAAGCCCCGCTTCGGGATGCTCAGCAGAGAGTCTGCTCGAGGATTCTCCCTCTCCCTCTTCCCCCCCACCTGCCCATGCTCTCATGCTCTCTCTCTCTAAAATAAATAAATCTTTTTTTAAAAAGTTTTTATTTGTTTATTTGTCAGAGAGAGAGGGGGCACAAGTAGGGGGAGCAGCAGAGGGAGAGGGAGAAGCAGGCTTCCCGCGGAGCAGGGAGCCCGATGCGGAGCTCGATCCCAGGGCCCCGGGACCATGACCTGAGCTGAAGGCAAGACGCTTAATCGATGGGCCACCCAGGCGCCCCTAAAATAAATAAATCTTAAATAAAATAAAATAACACCTAAAACACAGGCATTGGCTTAGTAGATGCATAGCAGAAGGTTAGTAACTGATATCACCAGCTGAAAAGCTAGTGTTTTGGTAAAACGTTCGTGGAACGGTTTCTGTGGTAACTTGAAAGGCAGATATAGTTCCCATTGTGCCCGTACTTCTAGAGTAGGTGGTTGGAATGAGCCAGAAGGTATGAGGTGGCTGCCTTTTGCTGTTTTTAGCTAGGTATTACTAGGAAGAAAGGAGCTCAGGTTAGACTCTATGGGTTTTGAAGAAAAAGAAGGGAACGAAGAGTCCAGAATTTGGGACCCTGTAGATATTGAAAAGCCAACTGCTTCAATTGCATAAATAGCAAGGGACAAGACTTTTTGGCCTTGTCTCAGCAGCCTCTCATTAAGACATCTCAGGCCAACAAAGATCTCATTCCAATCTTGCCCAGTTGTTTCAGGCGGTTTCAAGGCAGGTGCCACTAAATTGGGAAAGAGGAGCTTAGGGGCAAGGAAGCCTGTCATGAAACAGGTTAAGGACTCCATCTAGAAAAGACCTCTGTGTATGGCTCCTGAGACATGGACTGGATAGAAGCAGAGTAAATAAATGCCTTGTAGGTTTTTAAAGTGAGAGTATTCCTGAAGAAACCACAGGGAGCCTGGCTGAAAAAGAAGTGTTTGTTAAAACAAATCTTGTGCTCCCAAACTTGCAGACATCAGGGTGCGAAAGTCAAATAGTCCTCCAGAAGGCACACTCCTTAGCAACTGCTTGAGGATTTCTATTCATTACAGGTTTCTAGTATTTCAAATAGGACGTGTTTTGCTGTAGTTAATATTTCTTCTGCTTGAAGTTCATTGAACTTGGATTGCTAAATTTATAGTTTTCATGAAATTTGGAAAAATGTTGGGCGCCTGGGTGGCTCAGATGGTTGGGCGTCTGCCTTCGGCTCAGGTCATGATCCTGGAGTCCTGGGATCGAGTCCCGCATCGGGCTCCCTGCTCCTTGGGAGCCTGCTTCTCCCTCTGCCTTTCTCTCTCTCTGTGTCTCTCTCTCTCTCTGCCTCTCTCTCTCTCTGTCTCTCATGAATAAATAAATAAAATCTTTAAAAAAAAAAGAAATTTGGAAAAATGTTGACCATTATTTCTTCGAAATGTTTTTCTTTCCACCTCCCAATGCCCCCACTTCTGAGACCAATTACATACATATTAGGTCACTAGATAGTGCCCCACGGCCCAGAAATGCTCTGTTTATTGTATTTTCCAGTCTTTTTTTTCTCTTTGTGTTTCATTTTGGAGAATGTCTACTGCCATGTCTTCAAACCCATTAATCTTTTCCTCTGCAGCATCTGTTAATCCCATTTGGTATGTTTTTAAATTTCAGATATTATGTTTTTCATCTCCAGAAGTTTGATATAGATCTTTTATGTATCTTTTCCTCCTCATGATGTTTATTTTTTCCTCTACCTTCATAAGCATATTGAGTACTTTTATGATAACTTTTAACATCCTTTTCTATTAATTCTGTCGTCTGGGGTTTCTGGGTCTTTCTTTTGATTGATTTCTCTCCTGGTTGTTTGCATACATGATAATTTTTGGTTGGCTCTAGACATTCAGGGTTATACTTTTTTAGGTGCTAGACTTTGTTGTATTCCTTTAAATATTTGGGCGTTTTTGTTCTGGGGCACAGATGAGTTACTTGGAATTGATTGGATCCTTCTGAGACTTGCTGATAAGCATTGTTACAGCAGACCCAGAGTAGCCACTGGGGCTGATGTGACCCCACTATTAAGGCAATATCCTTCTGAGGACCCTACACAGTGCCCTCTCTTATACGGTCTTTCTATTCTGGCTGGTGGGAACACAACAATTCCCAGTCCCATATGAGCTCAAGGGATTTTCCTGCTTATCCCTTTCTGGTGGGTGTTTCCTCAGCCCTGAATTGTCTCCTCCCTACTGAGTACCGTAATACGTACTTTATAGTACTATAGATCAGTACTCAGCCTTCAAATCAAGGGCGCTCTCTGCTGATCTCCAAAGCTCTCTTTGTATAGCTCCTTCCTCTTTAGCCCCCTTCATATTCATGAACTGGAAATTCTGTCTCCTTGTTCAGGAAGGTGGCTGGCCTCTATTTGGGTTCCCTCTCCCTGCCCTGTGGCCTGGAAACTCTTTTTAGGCAGACAGCTGGGAAGCTTGAAGGGCTCACTTTGGACCACTATCCTATGTTACCTCTTGTCCTGTATCTGTAAATTATTGCTTCCTATATTTAGCCCAGTTTTCTAGTTGTTTAAGACAAGAAGATATATCTAGTCCCTGTTATTGCATCATCATTGGAAACAGAAGTGTCAACACCCACTTCGGATGAGGACATGGAGGAGAGCAGATGAAACAGTATTACAGTCAAGGACTTAACATTCTCTGGGTTTTCTCAGATCTTTTTTTCCCTTCTTATCTTTACTGAGGTATAATTGACAAAAATTGTATATATTTAAGGTGTACGACCTGATGTTTTGATATAGGTATACACTGTGAAATAATCACCACGATCAAACTAATTCACCTGTGCATCTCCTCACATGGTTCTCATTTTCCGTGTGTGTGTGTGTGTGTGTGTGTGTGTGTGTGTGTCCCCATCCTTCTGGCTAAGCGAGGGACTGACCTGGACCGCCTAGGAACCTACGCCACTGAGTCTCCCAGACCCTGCTCCTCACCTGGAGGCCCTTAAAGCTGGGGTACGCCCCGGGGTGACGGGCATCCGTTCTCCCTGCCTCCCCGCCCCGCCGGGCCCGCCCCCCCCCTCCCCCCCCCCCCCGCCCCGCCCCGCCGGGCCCGCCCCTCCCTTCCCCGCCGGCCCCGCCCCGGCCCTGAGGGCCCCGCCCCTCGCCCTGCCTCTCCACTGCCCCGCCCCTCCCCCAGCCCCCGCGGCCCCGCCTCTCCCCGTCAGCCCCGCCTCTCCCCCCGCTCCTCCCCTCCAGACCCCGCGGCCCCGCCTCTCCCCGTCAGCCCCGCCTCTCCCCCAGCTCCTCCCCAACAGCCCCGCGGACCCGCCCCTCTCGCGTCCTGGAGGGCCCAGCTGCTCGCCCCTTCTCTCCGCGGCCCCGCCCCTCCGCGCCAGCTCCGCCTCTGCCCGCGGCCCCGCCCTGCCCGCCCCGCCTCTCCCCGCCAGCCTCTCCTTCCGTCTCGCTCCTCCCCGCCGCCCGCTGCGTCCGGCTCCCATGTGTCTCCGAGCCCGCTGCGCTGCGCTCGCTCCGCTTCTCCGCACGCTTCGGCCTGCTCCTGCTGCGGCCATGAGCACTGGCACTTTCGTTGTGTCGCAGCCGCTCAATTACCGCGGCGGGGCCCGCGTGGATCCGGCGGACGCCTCCGGCACCGAGAAGGCGTTCGAGCCGGCAACCGGTAACCGGGCGGAGACCGGACTGCGGGGCCTGGGCGGCGGTGCAGGGGGGCGGCGGCGGGGCCTGGGCGCCGGTTGGCGCTTCCCCGCCCCACTCGTGGAGGTGTTCTACTGCCTTGAACCTTCATTTAGTGCGTTCGGCAGACGTTTGCTGGGCATAAGTGAGTGACGGTGTGGAGAATAGAGTTGTGTGTGCAGGCCGCTAAGGACTCCGTGCAAACGCGAATGCATCTGGACAGGAACAGGGAGAGAGTCTAGAAAACTGGTAAAGCTGGTGAGTTGCGTCGCGGGGGGGGATCGTAGGTCGTGCTACAACGGCCTGAAGAGTCTACAAAGCCACGGTGCGTGAGGTTGTGCCCCTGTTAGTTATTAATTTTTAAAGTTAGAACGGCAGTAATGTATTCAACTTTGCATGGGAAAGGATTAGGATTTCCAGAAGGACGCAGGTGAAAACATTAGTGCCGAGAATGGAGAAGCATTCACAGATGACTCTAAGGAGCCTGAATGAGGGCTTTGTTGCGATCTCCTAGCGTTAAAATATTTCTTGCATGAATTAGAATTGGGAAAGGGAAAAAAGCCCAGGTTTTATCCAGTGCTTGAGGTTGCCAAATACCTGGCAAATACCCGTGCTGGGCCCTGGATTTGCTCTCAGAATTCTGAGGATCACACAGCTAATGAGGAAGAGGTTTTGGTTTTTGGTTTATGTTTGTTTTGTTGAGATTTATGTAATATTTGTGGGGAGAAAAATGTAAATGTGTTGTGCAAACCAGAATGGCAGGTGGCCAGAGGGACACAACTGGATTGCGAAGGGCTGCAGAATTTAGGATTGATCCATCCCGCTAAACCACGGAGCAGTAGTAACCTTGTCAGAGCAGGAAGGGACCCCAGGGGTCAGTGGACTCTTGCAGAGGAAACAGCCTCTCCACCCCCATCCCTGTAGTCCTACAGGAGAAGGAAAAATTGCTCTTTATTTTAATTACCTACAGTGTGTGCAATCCTTAGCCACTGCCCTTACCAACTAGCTATTCAAATTTGTAACAAATGGCAGGCTTGTGAAATCTTCCTGGAAAAAGCAGAGTCCCTGGAGTTCTTGGGGGATGGAAAAGGAACTGCCGATTTGGTGTACTTAAAGTAATTCCTGTTGGTAGAGGCAGTCACAACCCTTGGGATGCGGGGTTCATATTTTGCATCGGGATAGGGAATAAGGTTGGAGTAAGAAAAGGAGAGACTTTTGAGAAAAATTTTTTCTTTAAGATTTTATTTATTCATCTGAGACACAGAGATACAGACAGAAAGACAGAGCATGAGCAGGGGAAGAGGCGGACAGAGAAGGAGAAGCAGGCCCCCCGCTGAGCCAGGAGCCCGATGCGGGGGCTCGATCCCAGGACCCTGGGATCATGACCTGAGCTGAAGGCAGACGCTTAACCATCTGAGCCACACAAGCGCCCCATGAGAAAAATTTTTTCTTGTGTTTAAGGATAGGTTTTCCCGATATTACTGTTTATTAACCACACTCATGAAGTGAGTGTCTCAGTAGTATGATACGACTTATGTAGAACATAGACCAGTGATATCAAATCAGAATTTATAACCCAGGGGACTGAGGACTTTCAACTTTGATTTTGCAAGACCCCTGAGATTCTCAAACATTGTTTTTGGTTTTTTTAAAGATTTTATTTATTTGACAGAGAGATACAGTGAGAGAGGGAACACAAGCAGGGGGGAGTGGGAGAGGGAGAAGCAGGCTTCCCGCGGAGCAGGGAGCCCGATGCGGGGCTCGATCCCAGGACCCTGGGATCATGACCTGAGCCGAAGGCAGACGCTTAACGACTGAGCCACCCAGGCGCCCCTGATTCTCAAACATTGTTAAGGAGAGTTTCAAAACCCAGCTATAAAATAGAGGAGGAAGGGGTTCCTAACCTGAAGTTTGTGCTGTGCTTAGGGCAAGGACACATTCTCTCTTTAATTCTGTGATGCAGTGAAGTACAGTTTTCTAGAGAGAAGTCTGCACCTTTTGTTAGATTCTTTTTTTTTTTTTAATATTTTGTTTATTTGACAGAGAGAGACACAGCGAGAGAGGGAACACAAGCAGGGGGAGTGGGAGAGGGAGAAGCAGGCTTCCCGCGGAGCAGGGAGCCCGAAGCGGGGCTCGATCCCAGGACCCTGGGACCACGACCTGAGCCAAAGGCAGATGCTTAATGACTGAGCCACCCAGGCACCCCCTTTTGTTCGATTCCTAAAGGGTTCAGTCACCTCAAAACAGAGTTAAGAACTGTTGGCATAGGGGTGGTCATGAAATCAAACCATAGTTGAAAACAAGAAGGGGGTCACTAAAAGGGAATTTGGATACACAGTACTTTCTTTATTTTATTTATTTATTTTAAGATTTTATTTATTTCTTTGACAGAGAGAGACACAGGGAGAGAGGAAACTCAGACAGGGGGAGTGGGAGAGGGAGAAGCAGGCCTCCCGCTGAGCAGGGAGCCGGATGTGGGGCTTGATCCCAGGACCCCGGGATCATGACCTGAGCCCAAGGCAGACGCTTAACGACTGAGCCACCGAGGCGCCCCCACAGTACTTTCTTTAAATGGGAGGTGACAGTTGGAGATAACACTGTGTTTCCGGTTACAGGCCGAGTGATAGCCACCTTCACTTGCTCAGGAGAGAAGGAAGTAAATTTGGCTGTGCAAGATGCCAAGGCCGCCTTTAAAATATGGAGTCAGAAATCTGGCATGGAGCGCTGTCGAGTTCTTTTGGAGGCGGCCAGGATAATAAGGGTATGTTTCACGTTTTTTCTCTTTCAGAGATGTCCCCCTTGAGTTGCTCTGAGGGTTCTCTGTGATGGTTTGCAGTTAGACTTTGATGCTCTGTTAGGCGATGCCTTTTTTATGAAATTAAAAATCATTTTCGTGTGATCCCCTGGGTATCTAGGACATACTTTCTTTGAATAATTGCCTTCTGGATCCTGGCTCTCTGTGACCTCTCCCTTGGCAGGTTGTTTTTTCCATCTTTGTTGTCATGTGTCCTTTGCAGCTTGTCTCCTTTTTTAACTCTGTGTACTTGTCCCGAACCGTTTATTTTTTCCTTTGATGACTCTTAAGTCTACCGTTCTTTTTTTCGGGCACATTTTCTACCTTAATTGCCTGGGAAGATGTCATAGATTGATAGATGTTCCCTTCTTAAAAAACAAAGTTGGGGCACCTGGGTAGCTCAGTCAGTTAAGCATCGGACTCTTGATTTTGGCTCAGGTTGTGGTCTTGGGGTTGTGGATCGAGCCCTGTGTCAGGCTCTGCACTCAGCGGGGAGTCTACTTGAGACTCTCCCTCTCCCTCTGCCCCTCCCCCATCCTCCCTCCTGCTTGAATGCTCGCTCTCTCTCTCTCTCTCTCTCTCTCTCTCTCAAATAAATAAATAATCTTAAAAAAAACCCAACAAAGTTAAAACTTCTTACGGTCTTTTTTTTTTAAATTTTATTTATTTTGGGTAATCTCTATACCCAACATGGGGCTCGAACTCATGACCCTGAGATCAAGAATCCGCATGCTTCACTGATTGAACCCCTAAGCTTTTTAGTCTTAAAAAGCAAAAGGACTAGAGATGCTTATTACAGAAAATTAGAAGATTCAGAAGCATGTACACCAAAATATGAATTGTGGTTATCTCTGAGTGGTAGAACTCTGGTGATTTTTGTTCTCATGAGTGTGTTAAGTCAGAAACTGTGATGTGTCTGAGAATTACCATACATACATATGTATGTACATATATATAGTGACAGGAGACATGAAGCTTGCGGGATTAGAGAAAGATATGTTGTTTTTTTAAAGATTTTATTTATTTGTTTATTTGAGAGAGGGAGAGCACAAGCAGAGGGGAAGGGCAGAGGGAGAAGCAGGCTTCCCGCTGAGCCGGGAGCCTGATGTGGGGCTCAATCCAGGACCCTGAGATCATGACCAGAGCCGAAGGCAGACGCCTCACCAACTGAGCCACCCAGGCGCCCCGAGGAAGATACGATTTATCATTCACAGCAAAATGCAGCAGTCAGGGCACTACCTTAATACTAGTTTTCTGAGCTCCAGTCCCCACAGGGAGATGCAGTGAGAGCTACCGATTACCCTGTCACTTGCAGAGGTTGCCTCCCAGCAGGGGAACCCTAAAGTTATGAGACTCAGTTTAGCAGGAGCTGCTCTCACGCCTGTGTCTGCTCTACCCTGGAGCGAGGGAGATGGCTCACTAAGCAGATCGCCTCCAGGGTTCAGGGGGAAGGTGTTACCAGCTTTATTACCTTGGAAAGTTAGCAGGTGTCTCCAGACATGGGAAGCAGTGAGCTTTCCATCTGCACATCTCTCTGGGCACCTCTGTCTTTAGGCAGACACTGTGACTGCCTTCCAAGGCCTTTGCCACTCAGCTGGCCAGTGTCCTCTGCTCGGAAAGCCTGGGCCACACAGAGATGAAGCAGTGTTCATGGAGGATTTCCTCCCAACTAAGTATTTTCCTCTGTCGTCAAAAAATTATTTTGAGGGGCGTCTGGGTGGCTCAGTTGTTAAGCGTCTGCCTTCGGCTCAGGTCATGATCACAGGGTCCTGGGATCGAGCCCCGCATCGGGCTCTCTGCTCTGCGGGAAGCCTGCTTCTCCCTCTGCCACTCCCCCTGCTTCTCTCTCTCCCACTCCCCCTGCTTGTGTTCCCTCTCTCGCTGTGTCTCTCTCTCTCAAATAAATAAATAAAATCTTTAAAAAAAAATTATTTTGAATTAGATAGCCCAAATGTGGTAACTCAAGCAGATAATTTATTATTTTAGTTTGTCTCACTTTTCCCTAGTGGATAAGCATTTAGGGTTGTTGTGTCCTCTTAAGAACTGGCCCCTTTGGAACC